CCCCCACGCCCCCAACCCCCGTAGTCTGCCTCGTACCGGCCCTCCCTCCCTCTGCTTCCTGAATCGCATCTGATCGCTGTTCAGTTTTCCTTCAGACCCCGAAACCTCCGGTGCTTGCGCGCGCGCTTCCAGGGACCAGCAGCACGTCACCATCACTTTTTGAGAAGTGAGTGATCGTCAGCCGAAACTGGGTATTTTAACTCATCACGCTTCCCATTTTATTATTTTTTTAAACTTCTTGGGAGGGAGCATATTGGGGGAGGGGGCAGGTTTTTAAAACTCTGTTGGGTGAGCTTTCCTGAATCAGATTTTAGCATTTTCTCCCTCTCAGTCCCCAATGCCCACGTAAGCTGTAGTGACAGCCTGGGCTATCAGCAAGACCATCTGAAATTACGGTGGCTTTTTTGGAAACTTTGAGCAGAGTCTCTGCTTCCCAGAAAAATAATTGTAACTCAAACTAAAATTAGTTTTATTTTCTTTGAAATAACAACTCAATCTCTATTCGTTTGTATATTGCTCAACTCTTCCCTTTTGCTTGATATTTTTGGACCTGAAAAAGAGCATTTGCATGTGTATTAGGAATCGTATCGTTTCATAACGTGAAAATTGTTGCTTCCTTTCTAGTTGAGCAATAGAATTTACTAATGTAAAGTACACTTCTTTTGGGGTAAATAAAGTTTCTACTTCCCTTGTTTTGTTTCTTTTATAAAATCATCCTTCCAAAAACTGACTGTAATCTAATTTAAAATTTATAACTGAAGGGAAAGGGACATCTGTCAGTCAAAATAGCAGGAAAAATAAGCGTACTGTGAAATATAGATGACTTTTACGTTTATAAGGTACCAAGTATTTCGATGAATTAGTAGATACTGTGTGAATTTATTTAAACTCTTAGGTGATGCTGATGTAACCAGTAGAAAATGTTTTGCCTGGTTGTTCCTTTTATTAAACATTCTGCTTCATTATGTTTTTTTTTACTTCAGGAAAATTCAAGAAGGAGCAAATCTTAGGTCCTTCCCTCCCTTTTCCCTCGCTTTCCCCCAACAGTTCCTTCCTGCCTCTTTAGCTTTCTCTTCAACTATGTAAGATGGTGTGTTAAAAGATTAAATACTTTTAAGTATATGTGATACACATTAATATGTATATCTGTGTATTACTGAGCTTTTTAATTTAGCTATTAATAAATTGAAAGTCTAACTGATATTTGGAATTGTAAGATGAAATGAGACAAGTTGGATGGATAAGTGTATGGTAACATCAAGTATCAGTTTGATTTGTATAGCAAATGTTGTTTAGTTGCTGTTGTATCTGACTCTTTTGTGATCCTAGGGACTATAGCCTGTCAGGCTCCTCTGTCCATAGGATTTCCCAGACAGGAATACTGGAGTGGGTTCCCATTTCCTTCTCCAGGGGATCTTTCTGACTCAGGGATCGAATCCACATCTCCTGAATGGGCAGGCTGATTCTTTACCACTGAGCCACCAGGGAAGCCCAGTAAAGAGCATGTGTGTGCACATACAGATGTGCATAGGACTTTGTTAAAGCCAAAAAATGACCTTATTTGTATCATCTCATATTTACTCAAAGCACAAGTTTTAAATTGTATAAACGTTGGGTGAAATTGAAGAAATCACTTACAGAAGGAGATAGGTCTAATTTGAGGGTTGTATTACCTTGGATATTTTACTGGGAAAGATAGAACAACAGACATTTTCATCCTAAATGTGTATGGTAGCAGTGTTAGGGGAAAATACCTTGATACTATTGTTTTCTTGAGAACATATTTGTTTGTGATAAATCTGCTTTAAGCCTTACTGAAGAACAAATTTAAAATTGTTCTATTAGTGCTGTCCAATCTTTTATATTGATAAATTTGTAAAATTTATGTAATAGCTACCTTAGGGGTTAGTTCTAGATATTAAATAAGTCAACATTTGTCAAGGGCTTGTATTTATGGCTTTCTAATAAGCACTCTTAAGTGGTACATTTTTAACATTGACCTGTTGCTTCCAAAAGTTTTTATTGCTAAAGTTGATAATTCTGCCCATTTGGTAGGTTGTGAGGTGTGTTGTTTTTTTTTTTAACTATTCACTTTGATAGATTGTCTTACTTGAAAAATAGCCCATACTGAGTGTGTGTTTTGTGTGTTTTTGAAATGTAAGATGCATCTTAGAGAAAAATTGCCAATTTGGGTTGAGAAAAAAATTCCTTAAGGGAAGAATGCATGTATGCATGCTAAGTTGCTTCAGTCGTGTCTAACTCTTTGATCCCATAGACTGTAGCCTGCCAGTCTCCTTTTGTTCATCGGATTCTCCAGGCAAGAATACTGGAGTGGGTTGCCGTGCCCTGCTCTAGATCTTCCCGACCCAGGAACTGAATCTGTGTCACCCAGGAACTGAATCCGTGTCACCCAGGAACTGAATCCATGTCTCCTGTCTTGCCTCCTGCATTGGTAGGTAGATTTTTTACCCTGTGTGCCATCTGGGAAACCCAAGGGAAGAATGACTTTATACATGACCATTAATAGTTGTCCCTCATAGCTCAGTTGGTGAAGAATCTGCCTGCAATGCAGGAGATCCTGGTTTGATTCCTGGATTGGGAAGATCTGCTGGAGAAGGAATAGACTACCCACTCCAGTATTCTTGGGCTTACCTTGTGGCTCAGCTGATAAAGAATATGCCTACAATGTGGGAGACCTGGGTTCGATCCCTGTGTTCGGAAGATCCCCTGGAGAAGGGAAAGGCTACCCACTTCAGTCTTCTGGCCTGGAGAATTCCATGGATTGTATAGTCCATGGGGTCGCAGAGTTGGACACGACTGAGCAGCTTTCACTTTCACATTAATAGTTGTAGAAAAGGGAGACCTCCCATTGTTTAAAAGGTATAGACATTACTGAAAATCTTACCATGGCAAAAAAATAAGAAAGACTGGTATCTCAAAATTAACATGTGCTGAAACAAAACATTTGAATCCAAACTTTTCCTGTAGTCTTCCTGATTTTCACAAGCAGTACTCCCAACAGTTCACTCACTTCCTCGGGCGAAATAGTAGGAATCTTCTGTGATTCCTCTCACTCTACATATCAGTCAGTATCATCAGCTCTTCCTTGAATTTATTGTGCCTTCAATCACATCACATCTGATGCTACCTCCCTATACAAGCCACCACCATCACTTACACAGCAATATCCAACTGTTTCTGATTCCATTTTTCCTTGTACTTTTAAACCATTCTCTAGAAACCATCTAGAGTGACCATTTTTAAAAACTTGATTCAGTTATGTTACTCACTTGTTTAAAAGCTTCCAATGATTTCCCTGAAATAGAATACTAAGTCCAATTTCCTTACCATGGCCTTTAAAACTGCATAATCTGACTAATTCTCCACACTCACCTTATCCTCACCCTTCCCATTGCCTCCTTTCTGTTTCTGTCAGGTACCAGGCTTTTTCCGGTCTGTGGCAGACAGAGACTGTTGTCCCCTGAAATTTCTTTTTTTTTTTTTTAATGGTAATAGACATGGACATACGGGGATCCAGAAAAAAGACTATATTCTAGCCTTGTGTAGCTGTGTTAGTCCTGGCCAGTAGAGTGTAAGCAGGTGTATGTGACTCCCTTCCAAAACCCTTCTTAAAAGACAGCTGCTGCACACCGTCAGTGCTTTTCTTCCTTTTTGTATCCTGCATCCGGGAATATAGATGTGACAGCCATTTGGCGTATGCAAGCTCCCTGTTCCTGGAGGGATGGCAGGACCTCAGCCGGGTGAAAATGTGAGTCCTTGAGATCTTTGTAGAGTAGTGTGTCAGCCCTCACTCCTTATGTACAGGTACTGATGTGAGGAAAATGGAAACTTTTATCTTGCTAAAGCCACTGTTTCAGTTCAGTCGCTCAGTCGTGTCCAACTCTTTGCAACCCCATGGACTGTAGCATGCCAGGCTTCCCTGTCCATCACCAACTCCCCGAGCTTGCTCAAACTCATATCTATCAAGTCAGTGAGGCCATCCAACCATCTCATTTTCTGTTGTCCCCTTCTGTCTTCAATGTTTCCCAGCATCAGGGTCTTTTCTAAAGAGTTAGTTCTTCACATCAGGTGGCCAAAGTATTGGAGTTTCAGCTTCAGCATCAGTCCTTCCAGTGAATATTCAGGACTGATTTCCTTTAGGATGGACTGGTTGGTTCTCCTTGCAGTCCAAAGGACTCTCAAGAGTCTTCTCCAACACCACAGTTCAGAAGCCACTATTTAGGGCATCTTATTCTCAAATTGAACTGATACTCCATCTCAAAACCTGTGTACTTCCAATTTTTTTCTGCCTGAGGTGTGTTTTCTCTGTGTCTGTATGGCTAACTCATTCTCATCCATCATTTTAATTCGGGTATCATTTCTGACCAGCATTCCCTGGCCTCTGTGCCTAAAGTAGCTCCTTTTCCCATTTTTCTCACACATGGCCCTCTGTTTTCATAACAGCATTTGTAATTGTATCATTATCTTCTTTATTACTGCTTATCTGTTTCCTTTCACCCTGTTAAAAATGTAAGTGCAGTGGGAGCAGAGACTATTTCTGTATTGTTCACTGCTTTATTCTCTAAACAGCATTGCATTACATAAGTACTGTTGAATGAATGAGACAGTGAATAAAGGAATCATTGAATGAATGAAATAGATCCTTATCCAAGATTAGGTAGACTTTTTAAAAATAGATGTTGTAAATTTTCCTTCAACAGGTAGTGTATAAAATCCAAGGTAGGAAGCAGCTAGGAGAAATAATCCAAATTAATGGTATAGGCCCAGTAAAGATAAATGCCTTTTTTTGGTATACATGATAAGGTTGGGCTTCCTGGTGGCTGAGGTGGTAAAGAGTCTGCCTGCAATGCGGGAGACCTGAGTTCAATCCCTGGGTCGGGAAGATCCCCTGGAGAAGGATATGGCAACCCACTCCAGTGTTCTTGCCTGGAGAATCCTGTGGACGGAGGAGCCTGGCAGGCTATGCAGTCAATAAGGTCGCAAAGAGTTGGACACGACTGAGCAACTAACACTAATGAGGTTGTTACAGAAGGAGCTTAGTTGGTGAACCAAACTAGCAAGTCAAAAAGCGCTGCAAACTAATCTGGGGAAGAAGCTCCCACTGCATTTACTCCCACTGATTTACTCTGTAACTTACTGGACCTCAGATTCTTCATCTAAAATATATGGAAGAATCTTAAGCTTTGAATGGTAATATTATAAAAGTTTAATTGTAAGTCCAACTTAGGAGTGACCTGACATGTTAAACATTAATTTGGTCTTCAGGTATTATTTTAACAGGTGATTATGTCTTGATAATACTGGCAAGGGATCAGAGAAACAGGACTTGTTACACTGCTGAGAGTGTAAATTGACATATCTCTAGTATGCAGTTTGGTAATATGTATCAAAAGCCTTGAAGGTCTAGTATGCAGTTTGGCAGTATGTGTACCAAAAGCCGTGAACATATGCCTTTGATCCTGCAGTTCTCTTCTAGAAATGTATCATAGAAAATAAGGATATGTGTAATAATTGTATTGCAAGAATATTCATTATTGCACTGTTTATTAGGATATTAGTTCAATTAAGCTCCATGCATACAACAGAACAGTATTCAGTCATTAAAAATGATGTGGAAGAAATTTTATTGACCTGATATATAAAGTATGAAGGGAAAGTTTTAAAAATAACCAATTTTATTAAAAAAAGTTTGTAAGTCTTGCAAAGACCCAACAGGATATGTACAAGTTATTAATTCAGTTCTTTAGAAGTAACTTAATTATTTTTGTTTCATTATTTCTATTTCATAGTTTTTATTAACTTTCATAGAATACTAATTAAAATTCTACCTTTATCTTTAAAGAAAAAAGTGGATGATTTGGGGAAATAATACTATACACATACCTGATACACAAGCCTGATATCTTATATCCTTTCTTCTTCCCATGCCCCAGAACTAATTTCCATTTCTTGTATGGTTTACCTTCTAAATACTTCTAGGATCCCCCCTTAGCTCTCCATTCCTTCAGTTATTCTCTTAATCATTTCCTCATCATCTCTCATCTGAACTTTGAAAGAGATTTTGTTTAAATTGGTCTTCAGTAAGTTTTACCCCTCCTCAGTCTTCCAGACTACCACCAGATTTTACAGTACACATCTTAAGAGACCCCCCTGCCTAAAATCTTTATAGTGATATACCTCATCCACCACAAGTTAAAAGTGCAAACTCCTTTCCATGAGGCATAAAGCCCTTCATGTTATAACACCTTCCTATAGCCTTAGGTACTACTTGTGGGTCTTTCCTAATACATGATGCTTCATGCTTTGAACCTTGCAGTTTTCCTTCTGCCTTGAGTGACCACTTCCTCTCCTCAAAATATGTTAAACCAGTATAGTCTTCTATGCTGATTCTTTAGAAGTAACTTAATTATTTTTGTTTCATTATTTCTATTTCATAGTTTTTATTAACTTTCATAGAATACTAATTAAAATTCTACCTTTATCTTTAAAGAAAAAAGTGGATGATTTGGGGAAATAATACTATACACATACCTGATACACAAGCCTGATATCTTATATCCTTTCTTCTTCCCATGCCCCAGAACTAATTTCCATTTCTTGTATGGTTTACCTTCTAAATACTTCTAGGATCCCCCCTTAGCTCTCCATTCCTTCAGTCATTCTCTTAATCATCTCCTCGTCATCTCTCATCTGAACTTTGAAAGAGATTTTGTTTAAATTGGTCTTCAGTAAGTTTTACCCCTCCTCAGTCTTCCAGACTACCACCAGATTTTACAGTACACATCTTAAGAGACCCCCCTGCCTAAAATCTTTATAGTGATATACCTCATCCACCACAAGTTAAAAGTGCAAACTCCTTTCCATGAGGCATAAAGCCCTTCATGTTATAACACCTTCCTATAGCCTTAGGTACTACTTGTGGGTCTTTCCTAATACATGATGCTTCATGCTTTGAACCTTGCAGTTTTCCTTCTGCCTTGAGTGACCACTTCCTCTCCTCAAAATATGTTAAACCAGTATAGTCTTCTATGCTGATTTTAAAAATATGTCCGTAAGGGAATTCCCTGGCAATCCAGTGGTTAGAACTCTGCACTTTAACTGCTGAGAGCATGAGTTCCATCCCTGGTCAGGCAGGGTACTAAGATCCCAAAAGCTGTGTAGCATGGCCAAAAAAAAAAAAATATGTCTGAAAAATATTTGATACTTCATTCTTCAGGATGTGGAACTACTTAATTCACCTCCTTCTAAGTGTGAGTTGAACATTGTGAATTTCTTCTTGTAAATAGAATAAGATAGAAGAGACTGTGACTCTGAGACTAGGTCATAAAAGGCATTGAGACTTCCTCCTGCATATTCTCTTGAGTCACTCCAGGGAAGCCCGCTGTCTTGTCATGGGACATTCAGACAGCCTACGGAGAAGCCTGTGTGCCTGGAAATAAATGATCCCAGCCAACAAGGAACCAAAGCCTGTGGACAACTGTGAGTGAACTCAAAAGCTAATCTTTGGGCCCCTTTGAGATAACTCCAGCCCTAGCCAGCAGCTTAACTATTACTTCATAAGATACCTGAACAAGAACCACCTAGCTAAGCCCCTCCTGAATCTGAGATAATATTTGTTGTTTGAAGCTGCTACTGTTTGGATTGATTTGTTATTCAGTAGTAGAACTCATAAAGCTTCCTTTGGGACTCATCTTGTGTGAAAATTTTCTGGACCCACTTTTTTCTTCACTTCGTATAAAATTGGGTTTTGCCCAACTAGACGATGAGCTGCGTACAGGCAAGAACTATATTTGCTTTATCCTTTTTTCCCTTTTTCTAGCACAGTATTAACAAATGTTAAGTCCTCAAAAATATTTTGCCAGAAGGAAGTGTAAAATACTTTGACCAATTGTAAGCAACTTGAGGGTAGAAACCCTGTATTTTTAGCATTTTATGTTCCTTTACACAGTATAGGAAACCAGTTAAGCAGGTGCCCCAGAAAGATGTATGTGATAAATAAGGTTAGACCTAAGAATTTTATGCATCAAGTGTTTTTAGTATTAATATGCCCAGCGTTGTACTAAAGAGAGTCTCATGAGTAACATGATTTTATTAGAGAAAAATATAACTAGGAAATAGTAATAGCAACAGATAAAGCAAACGTGTATACCCACAGGCATTGTTTTAAGCATTTTACCTGTATTAACTCATGAAATCCTTTATGATTTCTACTTTATGTGCTAGAAATTGCTAAAATCTGTGGTAGAGTCTATATAAACTCTGCTAGATCAGTAAAGGGAAGTGAGGGATAGCTTCACCATGTGGCTGCTCAAGTTTCATGTTCAGCGACACTGTTTGGATAGATGTGCGTGAAAGGACATGACGAAAGCCAGATTGCTACAAGAGTACCAGTGGCTAGATAGCTTTTAACAGATTTATTTTCCCTGTGAGTCTGTCTCCAAATTTCCCTTTTTTATAAGAACACCAGTCATATTGGATTAGTACATACCTGTATGACCTCATTTAACCTTAATTACTTTTTTAAATGGCCTTTCTCCAAATAGAGTCACATTCTGAACTAGCAGGGATAAATACCTCATAAATGTGGGGGTGGGGACACAATTCAGGCCAACTCAGATGCTGAAATGAGCATGGACCAGAGGCGAGAACTGGCCTAAGGTAAGCAGAGGGGTAAGGGAATTGTTGTAAATTGGGGAGTGTTTTAAATGCCAGGCGGAAGAGTTGACATGGATGGCTTTCAATAAGTCACCAATAATCAATCCATTCCCAGGTTTTAGCACCAAATAGAATCCTATACTGTAAATAGTATTTGTTTTCATTTTATCTACTTTTATCACTGCTCTTATCTTACGAAGATAAGATCTTATCTGTGAATCATCCCAAAACTAATGAGATATAAGTTTTTACCTATTCAAATCAGTCCTAAAATAAAAGCTGATTCTTTTGCATGATGTTTCCCCACACTTGCAAAAGAGTCAACAAAATACAACTGACCCTTGAAATATAGTTCAACCCTGAAAAGGTTAAATATAAATTTTAATGTTTCTATATTTACCTCTCATTACTTTACAGTGCTTGATAACATGTAAGTCTGGCATAAAAAATTAAACTTTTGTTCAATGCATATTAGAAACAGTAGCTTTTGAAGAGTAAGCATTGGTTTCAAAAAGGAACCCTCTGTCGATTATCTGGTTAAACATGAATAGTTAATTTAGTTCACAAAGACTGCGTTGGTAATAATGTCTGAGAACACATAATACCAGTTTCATTTAAGGAAAATAGTTATCACAAGTCTGTGCAGTAAGAATGACAAATATTTCAGTAATACATAAACTAAAATGCCATTAAGTTACCAAGAGAAACCTATTACATTACTAGTGTTCAACTCTGAAATCTTTTTTTTTTTAATTTCTTTTTTTTTTTTTCATTTATTTTTATTAGTTGGAGGCTAATTACTTCACATCATTACAGTGGTTTTTGTCATACATTGAAATGAATTAGCCATGGATTTACATGTATTCCCCATCCCGGTCCCCCCTCCCACCTCTCTCTGAAATCTTTAAAATGAGAAAGGAATAAAGCCGTTCGCTTTCCTTCCCAGTCTGACAAATTTAGTAGAATAAAAAATGTTACTGAATCACAGGTTCAGCTTCTTTACATATTTTTAGAAACTGCATAGAATCATAAATGCATAAGATCTGAAACAAAATTTGAAAAAAAGCATACTATACTTTAAATGAAGCATTCACCATTCTAAAATGAGAGTCATTGTGATAAATTTATCATAAGACTGCTATCTTTCTGGGGAGGGGGACATGTTTATTGTACATACTCTTCTTAAAACACTTTTTATGAACTTCCACATAGATTAGGGTTACTGTTTAATTATAGAAGCATTTTTTAATGCTTGAGAATCTTTATTAAACTTCATTTTGTTTAATCTCGTAATGATGAAAACAGTAACTCTTATCAAACATAACCAAAATATCTTCATCTTCATCCTGTCACCTATACATTTCATGAAATATTCAATGCTGGAAAAATACAATGACAATGCAAATACAGTAAAATAAGAAAGTTTGGACAGTTGCTTAGAGTTTGTCATATAAATGATTTCTATAATGGTGATTTTCCAAAGCTTTGCATTATTTTCATGGCATTTTTTCTGACTTCTGTAAATTTTCTATATCCTTTATGAGTTGTTTTCCAGATATGAGCATAAAAGTATGTTTTTAATATAACCGGTTTTGAAAATAATAGAACAAATGCTTCATCTTAATAGGATGTTCTGTTCTGACTTGGTATTCATTTATCATTCGTTATTCAAATGTGACTGAATCTCGCTTTTGTACCCACATTGTGTATTATTATCATTTAGTTTTCAAGAAAGTACATGATGTAGGTATAATAGTGTAATTTCTCCCATATTCTTGAAAGCCACATGTATGTGAGAGATACCCAGTGTAAACTTCTAAGCCAATCTTATCTTTCAGGTATCCTGTTCTTATATTGAATTTCTCTCTTTTTTATTATTCATCACCTTTGGAATTGATAGCAGCAATATTAAAGCCACTTAATATTCTCAGCTGAACATTAAAGATGTTATTACTCTCAAGTGTCTTTATGGGTCGTGCATGCATGCTCACTTGCTTCAGTTATTTCTGACTCTTTGTGACCCATGGACTGCAGCCCGCCAGGCTCCTCTGTCCGTGGGACTCTCCAGGCAAGGATACTGGAGTGGGCTGCTGTGCCCTCCTCCAGGGGGTCTTCCCAACCCAGTGAGTGAACCCACATCTCTTGCATTTCCTGCATTGCTGGAGATGCTTTACCACTGAGCCACTGGGAAAGCCCTCATGGGTCATTATCATCTAAAAAATAGGTGGCCTGAAAATAAAAACCAAGCAACCAATGAGAAGAATATGAGATCCTTGCAAACCATATAGTGGCTGTGACAAACCAATCAGCACAAGAAAACCTGAAAAAAAAACCCAGTAATTAGAAAATAGAAGGTCAGTATTGGCCTGATAATAATTACAGCTACAACTTGGCATCTACTGAATTGCAAGCACCATAATTACATAATTTGACTCAATCTGCATAATCTGAGATAGCTAGTACTTGCACTTTACAGAGGGAAATGGGGGCTTTAAGAGGCTTTAAAAGGGAGGTCTTAGATAAGTTTCTAACTTCAGAGCCTGTCTTCTTTTTGTTGTTAATAAAGGTAATTTTAATACTGTATGTAATATTTTTATGTATCTTTTTCTAGAGTGGGGTCTCATAGATATAAGATTTTCTAAGGGGTCCTAATGAAAAAAGTCTAAGAACCACTAAAACTCACTGTGAGTTCAGTGCCGTTACTGTGAGGAAGAGTAATGCTAAGAAAGTTTTGGCTTAGTCATTCAAACAAATAAAGGTGGAGAAGATAAGTAGATTGTGAAAGTTCTGATTCAGCTAACATTTATTGAATTTCCATTTTGCATCAGCTATACAGATTGTATAATACTCTCTCAATCCTGAATATATAGAAACACACTGTAAGAGTTGTGTATACCCAATGAGAGAAATTTGGAGAAGGAAATGGCAACCCACTCTAGTATTCCTGCCTGGAGAATCCCATGGACAGAGGAGCCTGGCAGGCTATAGTCTATGGGGTCACAAAAGTCAGACATGACTGAGTGAGCACAATGTGAGAAATTATTTTTATTATACAGCAGAAAACTTGAGGTAGGCCTGTGCTGATCGGTTCAGTTCAGCCACTCAGTCGTGTCCAACTTTTTGAGACACCATGAACCACGCACGCCAGGCCTCCCTGTCCGTCACCAACTCCTGGAGTTTACTTAAACTCATGTCCATTGAGTCGCTGATGCCATCCAACCGTCTCAGCCCCTTCATCCCCTTCTTATCCTGCCCCCAATCCTCCCTTTCCCAGCAGCAAGGTCTTTTCAAAGAGTCAGCTCTTCACATCAGATGGCCAAAGAATTGGAGTTTTAGCTTCAACATCAGTCCTACCAATGAACACCCAAGACTGATCTCCTTCACGATGGACTGGTTGGATATCCTTGCAGTCCACGGGACTCTCAAGAGTCTTCTCTAACACCACAGTTCAAAAGCATCAATTCTTCAGTGCTCAGCTTTCTTTATAGGCAAACTCACATATCCATACATGACCACTAGAAAAACCATAGGCGTGACAAGATGGCACTTTGTTGACAAGGTAATGTCTCTGCTTTTCAATATGCTGTCTAGGTTGGTCATAACTTTCCTTCTAAGGAGTAAGCATCTTTTAATTTCATGGCTGCAATCACNGAGATGAGTGCAATTGTGTGGTAGTTTGAGCATTCTTTGGCATTGCCTTTCTTTGGGATTGGAATGAAAACTGACCTTTTCCAGTCCTGTGGCCACTGCTGAGTTTTCCAAATTTGCTGGCATATTGAGTGCAGCACTTTCACAGCATCATCTTTCAGGATTTGAAATAGCTC